CGGCCCGGCGCAGCTCGCCCGCGGGCCGCACTTTTGTTAGCGCCAGGCGCCTCCTCTCGCCGCCCAGCGTCAATCACAGCTGGAGCCCCGGGGAGGAAGGCCGGCCCGGAGATGCGCGGCCTTTTAAAGGGGCAGCGCGCCTTTTCGGGGATCCCTCTTCGTCCCCCGCCTGGGCGCCTCTCCACGCGCCACCCGCGAGCCGTTTGGAGCGGAGGAACTCGCTGCTGGCTGCGTTTTACTATTGTTCTTTTATTGGCTGGCCCCTCATTTGTAAGATGAGCTTGCAGGCGTCGTTCGAAATCCCCTGGGCTTGTCTGCACACACGGCCTAGGTCGGTGGGTGAGCGTAGAAAACACGCGTGGGCGACTGCTTCTGACAGGTCTCGGGGATCTAGGCTGCCCTGCCCTGTGGCTCCCGGGTTTGGGGACCCAAGCGAGGAATGGAGGAGGGGCTGGGGAAGCGAGAGGCAGACTTAGCAGGGAGTGGTCCCCGGAGAGCCAGAGACATTCCTGCCACGCGAAGGAGGCTTCCTGGCTCTGAACTTTTAAGAGCTTTGCAGCCAGGAAGTGTATTTTCTTCTCCTATGGGTTTTTTTTTAACCTTGTGGTTGGTGTTATCCTTTGTTTAACACCCTCTTTTGCACATATACATGGCATTCGTAGAACCTTAAAGTAGCCCTGGCGAATCGCTTCACTAAACAGAAAAAGGGAATTCTTTTTAATATTATATCCCCTTTCCCTATAGGTAGGTAGAATGCCACAACCTTGCGTCTTGTAAATGTCAGGGAAGTTCAGGCAAGTTTCCTTGTAGGAAGGCACGCACACAGCAGTTTCTCCTTATAGGTACTGGAGGTTGTAAATTAAATGAAATGTATGTGCGATGCATACATTATACATACACATACTTACATATGTACACATATGATACTAGAATAGAGAGCGAGGAGTTTTGTATTTATATATTTCTTAAAAGACTTGTGACTTCACATAGAAGTTGGTAGTGATTTGACTTCCTATAAATTTACTTGAGTAACTTCCTTTAATTTCCTACAATTTTCTTTCTTAAAGATGTTAAAGCCTCATAGTTCAAAATTTGAAAATCTAGATTTATAATACAGAAGACACCATACTAATAAATTCATCTAAATATTAATAAATTCATCTATTTTAAGGACAGAATTAAAAAGTTTTATACTGTATTGAAGCCATTTTCCTCTCTCTCAGTCCAAAGACAGGAAAAAGTATATTTCATTGTCTAGAGTCTAGCACATTTCCTGGAAAATAATATGTAACTCCCAAATATCTGTTGAATTAAATTAATAACCTGTTTCATGGGCCTTAAATAAAAGAAGAGTAAGATGGGCGTGGTGGCACACACCTGTAATCCCAGCACTCTGGAAGGCTGAGGCATGAGGATTGCCGCAAGTTCCAGACCAGCCAGGGCTACAAAGTGAGCTCAAGGCCAACCTGAACTTCATAGTGAAACTCTGTCTCAAAAAGAAAAAAAAAAACAAAAAAAGAAAAGAAAAGAAAAAAATAAAAGAGGGGCATCTGAAATTTGGAAGAGTAAATGGTTTTCAGAGATTCTACCCAAAAGCATAAACCTGACATAAAAAGGAGCCGACAGCTACAATATCTTCGTGCAGAAGGAAATTTCTGCTCCCTTGTCCTTGTGATTCTCTGTCACCCCTTTGGAAACTACCCAGGTTTTCAGGATTTTGAGATTTAAATGAAGACAAATCAGCCTTAAAGTAGTACAAAAAAAAGAGAAAGAAAGAATAAAAAGCTCATCTTGATGTCTGATGTAGAGTTGATCCCCTGCTTTTAACATAGGATTATCTTCTGGATCTCCTCAGTCCCTCAGGAAAGTGACAAAAGAAGAAACTGAGGCTCAGAGTTGAGCCTCCAAGAGTCACCCAGGAGGCACAGACCAGACGGATTCCCTCCCTCCCCACCCCCTGTGTCTCCTGACCCCGTCATTATTCAGCTTGGATTCACCATCTTCACTTTTTGGTTGGGTCACCTTCCAGGGTCCTTAATATCATAGTAAAGCTGATGGTGAAAAGCACATTGTAGCAACCAATTACAATTAGCTTCTTTGAAATTACAATCTGTACATATTTTGGAAGACTCTAGTTCCTGCCATAATGGAGAATAGGAATAACTTAGTTTATGAAATTCCAATTTCAAACAAAATAGAAAAACAGTTTATATTTAACATCATTCTTATTATGAAAACTGATATGCGTTCAAACTGGCCTGGTCACTATAAAAGCTGGAAAAGAAAGCATAGTAAAGAAAAGAAGAAACAAAAACACTATTTTTGATTATTTAAAAAGGTATATTTGGTTTGTGTCTGGATGTCCCCCCAGAGCTTCATGCGGTCATGGGGACAGGCTTTTTGAAGACACCTTGTTAAACCCGGACCTCTTGTTTGCATGGCCTCACTTCAGGAAACAGAGTTATAGCTTTTCTAGCTCCACTCAGCAGGGGCCCAGGATCCTCACTTCATAAACATCCTCAGCCTGTGCAAGAGGAGGGCACGGTGATGGTGTGAGTGCTACACCCATCCCAGGGTGGACAACCTGCTTGCAATATAAGGAAAGAAAAGAGGCTCACTCTCCCCCTTTGCCTCTTGTTGCTTTGCTGTCTTCTGCCTCCTTGAAGTGTTGCCCCTGTGCCATGCCACCCTGTCTTGAAGCCAGCTGATTATGGACTGAAACCTCCACAAACCGTGAGCCTAATTAACCTTTTCTTTCTTAATTTCTTAATTTTGGTTTGTTGGGTATTTTGTCTCAGCAATGAACGAAAAGTAACTAAGACACGTGTATATATTTTGTTTTTCAAAACTAAGATACCGTGCAAATGTATGATTTTAACTGGAAGTTATAATGTTTTCGTCCAGCTTTGAAACCTAACCCCTGAACTTTCAATACCAATTTGCAAGCTTCTTTAGAAAAGAATGCATGTTTTTCACCAACGTGTTCCTAATATCTAGCAAAGTCCCTAACACAAAGTCCCTAACACAAAATAGTCAGTAATTACAGAATGAGTGAATGTTCGACTGAGATCTTTAGACTCAACAATCCCAATCTTATTCCATTTCCTCTGTCTTTGTCTTTTTAAAGGGGTCAAAATCACTAAAGAATTATTAAAGGAAGTCAGAATTAACAAACTGTCTTTATGAAAGGAACTGGCCAAATGGTAAGTAGCCATTTACTTGTTCTACTTTAACTAGATGCAAGAAAGAAAAAGAACTGGGAAGCAAAGCTCTTTTAATTGATACTCACATTTCCTTTTCTTTTCCATTTTCCGGTTGTAACTCAGTGGTTGTTTGGCTGTTTTAATAAATATGTCAACACTCTGAGTAGTAAAAATATGTTCTTTTTCAGAATTTTCTTTTACACTATTAGATTCAAAATCCAGCTTGACTTATAACATATGAGGCCCCCGTTTTCTCTAGGGAAGGAGCCACCAAGGTGCAGGTTAATCTGCACTTGGCGCTAATGATGGACGGGCTGTCAGAGCCACAGGAAGGGGGCCACAGTCCTCGAAGCCAATCAGCAGCCTCCTCTGTGCATCTGGCCCGTGGCTGCCAGTCTTAGGAAGGAGCACATCGTTAACCACAGGCCTGCTGGGCAATACTGCAGACAAAATAAACTCTTCCTTGAAACCCTTTTTGGGATGCATGCAAAGCCAGAATCCTTGATTTAAAAAAAAATACTAAAAATGATCATAAGAAATATTAGTCTGTAAAAAGGGGGGGAAATGAATCAGCTCGTGATATGATATGTGCTCCTACTTTCAGTTTATTCACATTTATTTTGTATATTTTCCCCTCTTGAGTAAACTGTTGCCTTCAAAAATCTGAATTACCTGCTTAGCTTTAGTTTTTTTATGTGTCAGAATATGGTTAAGTTTGCACACTCAGTTCATGTAATTATGGTGGAAAACAGCAACTTTGAGTAGGCTTTGGTTTAAATGTATGTATTGTCTGAAAGAAGAAATATTTCTTTTTTAATCAACAGAAGTTCATCATCAGAATGCAAAGTCGGATTCTTGGCAAAACATTTATGTCAGAAGGAAAGTGTACAAATGATTGGTACTATTTTTATTACTACCAAACACAGTATACTGTTATTCAAGAACCATCACATGTAACTATTCTATGTCATCAGCACTGTCTGGCTCATCCAACTCATACCATCCCTTACATTCCTTCCCCTTGCTTCTCCCCACTATCGGCTCCAGCAAAAGTTGTGTTTGTTTTTTTAGTGCAACTACTTAGAAATGACCACAGGACAATGTCTTGGCCTGGGAAATGTAAGTGAAAATCACCAGGGACACCTGAAATAAATTTTACTATTGAAATAAAATTTAGAGATAAGTATACCACAATTTATCCTGTTTTTCCCATCCTTCAATTCCAATTTTTTTTGAAACTGTGGTAACTACTATGGTATGGAAAATGGCAAGAGAATTGTAAAGATTATAATCTAGATTTCTGAAGGCTTCCAGCTATTGAAACAATACGAGCAATCTTGACCTCCAAACTCTTTATAATAAAGTCATAAAAACCTTGTAGTCCTGAGAGTTGGCTTTTCCATAACTTAAAGTTAACTTTAAACTTAAAAGATAAATATTTTGTTCACTTAAGAAAAAAATATAGATAATATGTAATATTTTCACTTATTTTAAAAACAAAACTATTTTAAAATATATTGATGTTTAATTGGGAAATGTTAGGCAGGAAATATACTTAAAGAAATCAGCCACTTTTTCACACCACTGCTCCCTTAAAAATATCTCTGTTCACCTCTCTTCGTGCCTAAATATATTTGTGTGTTAAGAACTGACAGGGACGTTTGGCCTCTGCTCCAGAATAGATGAGTAAAATTTGACTCTGACGAGCGTAATCAGAGCAGTCAAGAAAGAAAAGAAAAAAACAGTCGGCTTCAAGGTGTACTTAGGAGGTGAAGCTGACGAAGATCACCACATTGTGGTTTCCAAAGAGGAAAACTAAAGTGATGGGCAGGCTTTTGCTTGAGCAAGATGGTGGCGAGTGGTTGGGAGAATGGGGAGACGCGCCACTTTATAGAGTTGCTTGTCTGGAAGAGGATTGTAACATTTTGAAATCTGCATTCCCAATTAAAAGAGACAGCAATTATACAACAAGTGAAGATATTTAGTCAACAGTTGAGCTGTGAGTCTGGAATCAGGGAAAGAACATCACTGGTGTCTTGATTTGGGAGTCCAGTGTGTGAAAAGCTCCAATGGGCCTAGATGAGGAGCGTGGGAGAGAAAGTGTGGTACTATAGAAAGCTGAGGCTAGATCCTAACATGTCCACATGCACCTGTGTCGCAGAGAAGTAACTGATGAAGGAAATCAGGATGTGGGAAGAAAACATAGGAGAGTGCGGTGTTGGAAAAGCTAAGGTAAAAATGCATCCGGGTGGAAAAAGTAGCCTAGCATGTCCAGTGTTTCAGACAGTTCACATTCAGGGTTGACCCTGGCTTTGGCAGGAGGTGCGCTGTGAGAGAACTCACTTTCACCCATTTTAGTGATGTAGCATGGAAATCACTGCGGTATCTTGAGGAGAGAGAGAAAGGTTAGGCTTTTTTTAGTTTGCATGGCCTGTCTTAGGTGATTTCTGTATATTGATAGGAATAAGCCTAGAGAAGGGAGTGTGTAGTAAAACAGAAAAAGAATCTGTAAGCATAAGAGAAGGGACTGGGCTGGAGCAAGAGCAGGAAGAGGTGTTCCAGCAAAGATAGGAAATAGACTCCTGAACTGGCTGCAGGTAACCCGTAAGCTGCGGGAGCCAAGAGTGAGAAGGAAGGTCCCGCCACTCCGATTTCCTCGAAAGGCTAACACCTGCTGGGCACGCCGTGGAGCACCCAGGCTCGGTAGTCAGACTCGGTGCTGGAAGGGCAGCAAATGATCTCTGCCTGGAGCTGCAGCTGTCCCACGAAAGCCAGGTAGGCTGCTTTTACGCTGTTCAGCAAAAAAGTGGTAAAAAAACAAAAGTCACTGTAGGAGTGGATTCCCAGAGCTCAGCTGGTACAGAGCAGCTTTGCAAAATCCTATAGAAGCCACGGCCAACTGCTCAGCCAAGGAGACGGTGCAATTACAGTTAATTGTAAATCTCCTTGGCTACTCAGTGATCTTCAGCTTCGTGTGTGCCCTGCAATCCAGGCCTGAGGTCAGGCTCTTCCTCGTTCTGACAGCAACTGGTAGAAACAGATATAGAAAAGTTATTTGCATTAGCATCATGATTAGCTCTTTCAAAGTAGAACTGCTCGCGCTTCTATCTGCTAGGAGCACAGGCTGCTGACCCTCACAGAAGCATCCTTCTCTGGGGATTTCAGTAAGGGCAAGAGAGTTGCATTGCACATTTACCGCTCCTTGGGAGCAAGTGAAATCTAATGAAGGCTTACAAAGGCTCTGACCCCTGCCTTATCAGAGACATCTCTAGGTCAGAGTTTGTCCACCTTAACACTATGGACATTTTGGGCTAGCTAATTCTTTGCTGGGGGGAAGCTCCTTTACACTAAGAATATTTAGCATCATCTCTGGCCTTCACTGCTAGATATTGCAGCACCCCCCACCCCCATTATGCCTCCAGGGCTTGCCAAATGTTCCCTGGGGAATAAAATCCCCCAGCTGAGGTCTGCTGGTCTACAGCATCTCCCAGTGGAAGGACTCCTGCATCTGAAGTCTTTGTTGCAAATAAATTGTAGTTGAACTCCTCCTTCTACCCAATCCTACTCACATAATTCCCCTTCAGATGTTGTTCCTGAGACCACCTCTAAACAAACTGCTTACATATCTGCACCTTGATTCTTTTTCTGGGAACTTGACAGTGATTCTAAGGCATCTCTAAACAAGTTTGAGCTATATTACCCACTGGCAGGCAAGTCCTGTTATTGATGGGCTGTGACATATTGTGTTAGTAAAATAGTCTAAATTTCATGAGTTATGAACTGGCATAGTATACAGGTGAAAGGGAAGAGCTGATGTGTGTAAAACAGTGCAGGTGTTTGAGAAAGTGAAAGAAATAGTACAAATACAAGGTCCATGAAATCAAGGGGTCGGTATTAGAGACATTTAATCCATTGGATAAAGATGATGACAGGCTAAGGGTGGTTGATCGCCAATGCAAACACTACTTCCTTGATAAATGGCACAGACACACTTACCTTATTAAGCTAGAGGGCAGAAACAAGAGAATCAGCCTGGATCCAGTTCAGCGTGCAAATGCCCAAACTTCTTGCCTCAGTCTGAAGCATCGCTGGAGCGCCACCCCAGCCTCAGAGCTCCTTGATCTGCCTGGGATGCTGTTGGGCCTCGGCACCATTCACCTTTCTCTGTTCAGTACTGCATCTCTGCCTCCATACAGGAACTGTTGGCAAGAGATTTTCCAAAGAAACCACCTGCACACAAATAATCATTTGGGATTGATTCCGGAAAACTTATTCCATAGAAACTCTCTAAAATCAGAAGCCCAGTGGTCCCTTGAAAACATGTTAGGATTCATTTTCTCTGCTTTCTCACCTCCTGTCTCTCCATTGTATATTGTCCAAACCACTCTAATGCAATTGCTATTCTTAAGCTCACTAGTGACATCCATTTTACAAAATCATCTCAGTTATTATTTCTCCCACTCTTCCTAAGCCCTCTAGTTTTGGATTCCACATCACATTATCACACCCACTGTCCCTCCAGACTACTCATTTGTAGACACTATATGTCACTCTTGCCATCTCTTAAAGATTTCAATGCCTGGTTGTCTTGGTTACTTTTTTCTCGTTGCTGGGACAAAATACCTGACACCCAAAATTAAGGAAGGAAAGGTTTATTTCGCCTACAGTTTGTGGAGGTTTCAGTCCCTACTTGGCAGATTATAAGGCAGAGTGGCACATGGCAGAGAGCTACGGTTCATGGCGGCAGAACACAGCAAAGCAACAAACACACACCAGGGCGGAATGGGGGAGGAATGGCCTCAAGCATCCTTTTCCTCTCCCTTACATATGCAAACTATCCTCCCCAGGCAGGTGTAGCTCTCACACCCATAATCAAACTCTAAAAACGTGCCCCATGGCCACATGAGGCTTTGGGGGGACACCCAAACACAAACCATAACACTGGTTTCCTGTCCACCTTTGAGAATGATTTCTCAGTGTTATTGGTGATTTTGATAAATAAGTAGGTGATACTTCCATCTCCCTATCTGCTCCATCCCATAACCTGCTTTATTGAATGAACATATTTTCCACCACATCTCAGCTCTCATGACCACCAACATGTTCCAGACTTTGTCTTTGTCTATCACATACCCCCACCATAAACTCAACTTGAAGACCACATTTCCAATAACGGCAGCAATCTCTCCGGCTCACTTCCTGTATTACCACAACTCTGTTGGGCTTTTCCTCACTTTACAACATACAAGAATTATAGTCTCCACCTTATGAAGCTCCGCAATACAGTCATCTAAGTAATAGCACACAGTTTCGAGTTAAAGTTCACACCTACTTGAGCTGAAGGTGGCAGGGAAAACATACACAGCATCCTGACCATGCCCACTCACCTGACGTAGGCCCTTGCTGCCTGGTCACTTGCTCCATTTCATCCACTTACTTCCTTGGGAGCAAGGGTATTTGTACAACATTGCCTATCCGCTTTTGGTTAAGGGATGCTGGAGGTGGGTGAATGTTAAACATATGCTAGCTTGATAATGCACCTTTTCCCCTTCCCATCGCATTGCTCTGAATGTCTCCCGCACCTACCAAATCAGTCACTTTCCACTGAAATCCTTATTTCAGGGTCCAATTTTGTTGAACCCTAAACTAAAATGAAGCATTATTTTCCCAGCTAATTTTGTCATCCTGTTATTAAATAGGCTGCACCATTGCTCTCCCATCCAATGACCCCAGAGCCCTTTCTTGAAAGAAGTTGCATTATTACTGTTGTCTCTTTTTCCCTTCCATTCTCTTTTTTTTGGGAGGGGTTTTTCTCCAGTACCGGGAACCGAACTCATGACCTTGTGCTTGCCAGGCAGGCGCTTTTGCCACTGAGCTAAATCCCCAGCCCCTTCCCTTCCATTCTCTATGGACTTCTCCCCTGCAGGGCGCTCCCCTGGATCATTCCATAAAAACTGCTTTTGAATGTTCCTCCTGCTCACTATGCTCAGTCTCCATCCCTCGCTCCTTGCCCTGTCAGCTGCATGCAACTCAGTTGATTTACCCCTTCTTTTTGAGCCTATTTCCTCTCCTGCAGATCCCTGCACTGTCCTCATTTGCTAAGTCCATTCATGGTCTCTGCTTACCTGTCCTCCATGAATTCTTACTCCTCCCTCTTCCTCTGAGCTCTGGAGTATTAGTCTGAGTATCAGTGCTTGCCTTTTCTCATTTGCACTCATGTTCACATATAGCGATCTCACCTAGTGCCATGGCTTTCGATACCATCTATGAAATGGTTATTTCTAAATTTCAGCTCCAGCTCCTACGTTTTCCTTGAATTCCACATCAGAATGTCTTATTGTCTTCCCGGCATTCTCACTTAGAATGTATATTTGAATACAAATACCCCCAAAGAAGCATATCCCCCAAAAGTTGTTTCTCTGTCTTATTCTCAATAAATGGTAATGACAACTTCATATTTGCTCAGGCCAAAGATCCTGCTGTCATCTTCAGCACCTCTCTTTCCTTCACAAGCTTCCAGATCATTGTGCTAGCTCTACCCTGAAAATGGTTTCAGAATATAGTCTCCCACTTTGCTACCTGGCTCAAGCCACCATCATCTTACACCAGGATTATTAACACAATTTCCTTTCTTATCTCTCTGCTTTGACTTTTGGTATATACTTTTCAGCACATATTCCATCAAAGTGGTGGCCAGAATGATCCCTCTCCATGAAATCCATCTGTGTGTCTCCACCCTCCTAAATTCTACATCTTTCTACCTATTCAGGGCAACAGCCAAAAGCCTTATAATGACCACCTCTATGCTTGCCTCATTTCTCTGATATCTGAGATGTTCCTTTTTCTTGCTTTGCTTCCAGGATGTCAACCTGGATTCTCAACTCTTGTCCATAGCATTGGCCGCTGCATTGCTCATCTTCCCTACCCACAATACCTGTGGATTCTCCTGACACTGAATCTCCCATAATTCAAGCCTTATTTGTTTGTAGTCACCCATTTGCTTTGTACCTTTATGACTTTCTCAATTTTTACCATGATAACTGTTAGCCTTTGTGGTTTAGGGGAGCTCTCAGCCCCAGTTCTGGTTCACTGTGTCTCTGACTTTGTCTTGTCTTTATGCTACCAGTGCAACTGCTTTCCTTCTTACTCTAACTCGGGGTAATGGCTTATATCTAGATGCCCCTGAAAGCCTTGTGAGATCATAGGTGGGGCTCTGCAGAGTGATGGGATCATGGATACTGGATCATGGCTGTGGGACAGTGGGTTAGTCCACTGATTGATTTAGGATAATTCTGGGTGTGTATGATGAACTTACTGAAGAGGAAAGTCCCACCAGGGGTGAGGGTGGCACTGCAAAACGGCCTATCAGCCTGGATAGAATGAAAAGGGAAAGAAGGAAATCTGACTACTTCCTGTCTGCCATGCCATGCACTATTTCTCTTCTTGGTGCCAGTCAACGATGGATTGAAACTTCTACAAACTGTCAGGTAAAATAAACCTCTTCTCATTTAACTTATGGGTGTCAGGTATTTTGTCTTAGCTATGAGAAAGTAACTAAGACACTCTGTTCTACCTGGACGAGGAAAACTTGTGTTCTCAGGGATAGAGAATCTAATTGCAGGGTGGTTTCATTTATTTGATTGCCTGTCATATCTTCTTACAGAGCTGTAAACCCCAGGGGTAGAAGACCTAAAGATTCTTCACATATACAAGTTTGAAAGTCGAAACACATTCCTCAGGAACCGCTTACATTGTAAAATGTTTTGAGTTACAAAAAATTCTAAATTGCTACTTCAATCCTCTAGTTCTCCCCAAATTAACTCCCAGACACCTAGCTTAATTGTCCTTCCCAACCATTAGTGCATCCCTGGGCTTGTTTTCGTAAAGTAACAAATCATTTACTTAGCATATATATGAATAATTTATACAGCTGAATCTTGAAATCCATAGTTTAATTATGTACATTTGGCCTTTCTTTAGAAATTATGTTTTGGAAGTTTGCCTACATAATCTTTAGTTAAGTATTTTTGATAACATATACAGTGAAGATGGATTGAGCAGTTCTTAATAGCTTCAAGTACTTGCAAGTCCCAGAGAGTGAGTTCTTAAACTGCAAACACAGTCTCATTTTTCACATCATTCCTGTTCCCAGCCATCCCACCAACATTTATTACTATTTTAAAATATACAATATATTAAACATTTGGCTTTGGAAAACAAAATTTTAAAGCTCCAATAAATGTTTCTGTGTAGCTTGGTTCTAGCGTAGCAGTAGGCTTTCTAGTTCAACAAGACCATCAAAGACACCATGAGTCATTCTGATGAACTAACCAGCTTCTTTAAACGAGGTTCTACTTACATTTTGTTTGAGAAAGAAGTGCTCCTAGTTTTGCTGACATACTATTTTCTATGAAGGACAAGAATTTTATTTCCTGTCTTCTTATTTTTTCTCATGAACTCATAATATGAAGAACAAGGACAAAGAGGAATCTGAGACAGAGAAGTGTTACTGTCTTAGGAAAGAGGTTTTTTTTTTTTTTTTTTTTTTTTGGTACCAGGAATTGAACTCAGGACCTCGTGCTTGCCAGGCAGGTGCTTGTGCCGCTGAGCTATATCCCCAGCCCCAGGAAAGACGTCTTTATGCACCATTTTCTCTATTAATATTATTTAAGTTAGTAATAGATATAAACCACAACCAAAGCACAACTCTTATTTTTCCCAGCTTTGCTCCTGCCCACTAAGTATGTACCAGATTGTGTACATTTTCTTTGCTTGAAGATTTTCTACTTATCTACAAAGGAGCAGCTCTACTCTTCTTCATGTTGGAGACATCAGTAAATTTTCTTCATCCTTGTCTTACCCAGGTACTTATCTTTCTGTTCACACTGTATCACTTACCTGTTGCTGCATCTCATTTCCTTTGCTGTGTACATGTATTTCTTCTAGACTAAGGTTCTCGAGGGCAAAGTCCAGGTTTTTTCACTGATATTCAGTAAATGATATTCAGTGTACAACAAATGATTAACACATTGCTGATAAACTGAGTAAATGAAGTAAAGAATAGAAGAGCAACAAGAATAGAAGAGCAACTGGAATTGACCAGTGTAGAAACAGATATCCAGACGAGAGAGCTACATTAAAGCAATCAACTCTTCAGGGGAGGAGAAATGCTGTATTAGTTCTGTCTTCTGAAGATGTGTTTATTACCCTGCATATAAAAAGGCTGGTGTTCAAAATGTAAAATGCAGCATTATAACCTTCTCAGGAGAAGACCTCATCTCATAATGGCTTCATTTTCATCTAGACAGGAGGAGGAACTGTGAACAGGCCAACAGAGAGTGCACATGGAACACTTCTCCTGTTCTCAGTCGGTAAAATTACTTGGGGACCAACAGACACTGCCAACATCATAAGAGAAGGCGTAGAGAGTGAGAAGTTGGTAGCAAGGAAACTTTTACAGTGGAACCTCAGCTACTACCCTCAAGGAAGTGTGGCAACCTCAATCCAGAGGGAGGAGATGGACTTAGGTGTGAAAGCCAACATGCTTCCTTGAGCCCTAGCACAGCAGACACTTTGGTGCCGACCTCCAACCACAGAAGAGAAACTTCCCAGGATAATTGAAGCCTGTCTATGGCTCAATGAAAGTTGGGAAAAAAAACCAGTGAAGACAGTTGGACCAGAGCAGGGAATCCCGGTTACAACAGGAGGGATATAAGCTTTGTTTAGCTCAAGGAGAAGAGAACAAAATAAATAGAACTATGTTCTCCAAATGACGTTTTCCAGAGCAGGATCCAGTAAGGCTCCCCACACCAAAAAAATTCTTGCTCCACCAACCACACTCGTGTTCTCAAGGCCTTCCTGTGTACTGTCATTCTCCAAGTGTCATCCCCATGCCTCTTCTCTTCAACGTGTCTCTTGACTTCGTTCCTGTAAAGCAGCAATGGAAGGTTAATAATAAATGTCATCTGTTAACAATTTCACTTATTCAATCAAGCAGACACTCATTTAAGAACACTCTTCCAAATAGTAACATCAACCTGAAAGTTGCTATCACCACTAAAACTGAACTCTACTCCTAGTGCTCGCAAGGAAGGAGATGAAAATAGCAGTTTTCACAGAGTTAAATCCTCAGGGATAGTGTCACCAGAGCAGCCAGTCACTTGTTCTCATTTGTAGGCCAACAGCATGACTTTCTCCCTGAGGAATTGCTGTTTTATCCACAAAACACTGGAAGACTACCAAAACTCAACAACTTGTGGAACAAAAGTTCTCAGGAATCCAGTTGTCCTTGGATCCCTGGCATGCTTCTCATGGGCCAGGCTTGGGATTCAAGATATTTAGATTTTTGGTCTGAGAAGATCAGCAATGCTTGAATGAATTTTCTTTATTTCCCCAATACCTTCTCCCTTTATAACTTTCAGGTCTTGAGAAGAATTTGGAGCTGCTCATAGATATATTTCACTAACTCCTTCTTAGGACATTTTTGTAGTGATAGACTTAGAAACATAAACTTTAGGATTTGAAATCATTTGAGAGTTTATCTTTTCAATCATTTCCATTCTGAAAATTGATGCTCGTAGAATTTAGGAATTTTCCCAAGGACCCTTAGCTATAAACAATCTGAAAATCACTATACTAGATGATACATTATGAAAGGGAAAATATGTAATATCTAAATCTGACACTGTATGAGTCTGCTTTCATTTTCTAATATGAGTTTGTATCAGAGTTCACTAGAAGAACAGATTTAATGTATATTTATATCATACATATCACATATATATGCTTTATATATATGCTTTATATATATGCTTTATATATATAGGTTTACAATGGCCTCTTGTAGAGTTAGGTATGAAAGAATACAAACCGAAGAGTCTGTACTGGAAACCTGCAGACAGACATACAAAGGTGATGGTGAAGATTGAAACTACTTGGAAGAAGTAGAAGAGAGATTTTCTTCTCCTTCCCCTTTTTATTCCACCCAGAATACAAGACTATTGGTTGGTGGCACAAACACCTAGGGTGAGTCTTCCCTCTTCACTAAGTCCATCCTGCAGACACTATGCTAAACCAGTCAGCCAGTTATTTCTCATGCAAGTTGACACCACATTTAGTTATCACAGAGTTTTATTCTGAACAAGAGATTAAATACTAATAACTAATTTCAAGCGTTCATAATTTCTAATATAAAATGTATCTCATCAAAATTGTCTTTGGCTGGTATAATGGCTTGTGTCTAGATGTTCCCTCAAGGCCTCGTGTGGTCATAGGTGGGGCTTTTCAGAAGTCACTGACTGTGTAAT